TAGTGGAGATAAAAATAATTGTTACCATGTGTGTATTATTGTCGTACTATTAAATATGTTTATATGCATTAAATTTAGTTTCCTGCATGCTTTGAATACATTAGAAAATGTTTTTGTTGTTGTGACGTTTCTCTGGTGATAATCAAGGTTTAAAGATAACAATCTGGTGACACTTAGCCGTAAAATTTTACGTGACCTCATTTTGTTGTATTTTTCCTTTTTTATTGCAAAAACTTTTGGACTTAGCTAATTTAAAAAAAAATTAATAGTATAGAAGCTTTCTGTGGTAGTCTTTGCTTCCTGTGTTGCCATATATTTGCTTAATGTGTCTGCCTCTGTGCATTTTTTTTTCCCCCTCCTTTCTAGATTTAAATAAGCTTTTACTTAATTTGAATAATGTGCTGTTTCAAAGCATTTTGGATTCCTTGTGATTTTACTGCCTTTTTAGATCATGGGCTGTAGTAATCAGCTTTATTTTTGGTCTTGCTCAATTTGATAATATCTGTAGTAACATTATTGATTTGAATTAAATGATAAATACGTTGATGAGATTTGTTTATGATATTGCTTTGCAAAGTCAAATGTTTTAACAGAGTAGGGAAACAGAAGAAAATTACAAATCTAGACAAAAAGTACAGTGAGATAGGTCCTTTTTTATAAGGTTAAGGATAACAGCTGAAAGAAAACCAAGTTGAAAGTGATGCTGTGTAATCAGAGCAGTGACATTAATATGAGTTCACAGTATGTAAAGCTTGTAAAAAGAAGCAAATGTGAAGATATTTTACTCTATATGGTATACTTTTGTCTAGTGCTTCAGTATTAGAAAAATGTTGAATTAGAAAAAGTTTTCTAAAAAAGGGGAAGGGAAGTGATGATAACAAATTTTCTGTACAGTTTTCAGTGTATGGAAGTGATAATGATTTGGAGGTTTGCAGTGCATAATAGCACCATTTCTTTTTTGAATCCTGCATTTACTGGATCAATTGTTATCAAAAGCGTTAGTACCAGTGTGCCAGTATATTAATCTCCAAACAATGTTTGGGTTTGTAGCATTGACTTAAGGCAGGAAAGTGCCTACCTTTCCTTGTGGATGAGAAGAGCAAAAGCTTTGTTTGCAAATTTCTGTGAACCATCTGCAGCTCTCGTAATCTTGAACTTAAAGGCTCAGTGGTCTTCTGAGCTGTGCCCATGGAGTGGAACACTGTCGTCTCATTTAGGAACTTTGTCTATTGTAGAGCAGTGTGCTAAAAGCTAAGATGAAATCCCCACCACTCTTGGTTTTGGGTTGTGAATTCAAAGCACGTCTATGTATCAGCACTATGCTGTTTACTATTGCTTTTTTAAATAATTGAGACTTGAAAAGACCTCATCACAAGCCAGTTTCTTTAATTATGGGGAGAGCTTTTATCTAAAAGACTTGCAATATCTTTTACAATAGAAGCCTCTTAATTTCAGATTATTCTTTGTTCAGTGATACATTCCAAAAGGGAAACACATTTGTTTGGATATAAACAATGAAGAATGGTGTATGGAAAGTGGTATGTCCCTATGGACTTTTTCTCACAGGAATGTAATTCTGCACTAAATCTCTGAAGAATTGTGTCACCGCTGTACTTGAGGAGATAACAACAATAACCATTAAAAATAAAGTATTGCCATCTATTGTTAGGCTGTTGTTCCTGTTTTGGCCCCTTATACACTTTCAAAACCGTAGATGTTTTCTTTTCCTTCAACCTTTATTCTAATCTACTGTCTAAATATTTAATAAAAAGCATATTGATTAAGATAACATGGATGTCCATGAGTCTCATTCATGGCACTTCTATTATTTATGAAAACATACTTGTTAACCCAACATTTTCATTTCTCTCCCACTAGGATCCCTTAATTGCTTTATTCCCCCGTCTCACTGATGTAGAAAAGTAAATACATTATCCATGCTTATTTCTTGTAAAGAACCGATTAAATTATTGCCATCTACATCCCCTTTTGCAGATATTTCAGGTTGTTTGTTGCTGTTGACCTTGCTTTTTTTGTAAATATTCTTTAGACAGTCAAACCTCAACTACATTTCTCAGCAGGGATTTCTCTGTTCATTTTTATAGCTGATCTTAAACATGAGACTCCTAACTCTTACTTATTCTGCTGTTTCTATAGCAACTAGATAGGTGGAGACACAGCAACATCTCTTTGCTTCCCAGCTGGTGTTTTGTGTTCTCAGCAAGGGGGGAGTTTGAGGAAAATAGTGAGGGTATTAATTGGGTTTTAACTGGCTCAGAAGTGTAGTCCTTGTTAAATTCCCTCACCCTTTACTTAGGAGTTAGTTAATAATTTTAAGCAGGGCTTCCCAAGCTTTCTTGAATAAAATTCTGTCCTCTCAGGAAGAGACATGATTTACCTTAAGTATGTGTCAGAGTTTGATCCCTTAGTTGCTTGGGCCTTCGTGTTTTCTTCCATCTAGAATCCCTTTTTCTTCATCACGTGGACAGCATAAGATGTGTTTCGGGAACTAGACTGGAATTAACTTGCATGTAGCCTGAACACATGTAAGGTACAGGGCTTTTTAATTTCTCGGATTCACACTCTTTAATCTGATTTTTGCAGCTGCCCAGTAACTGTATCATACTAGACTGTAATCTGGATATCATTTGTCTCATCTCAGAAAGATAGGTCCTATCAGGTTAGTGTTACTCTTCGACTGGTTCAGTGTGCATACAGTTTGCAATTTGCTCTGATTATCAAGAACTCAGAAAGTTTGTGTCTTCTTAGTAGTTGATAACCAAGCAGTTATTTGCTCGTGTGGGAAATAAAAAGCAAGTTTGCGTCCGTTCTCCCCCTGAATTAGGCTTGAGTGAAGACTTCTCACCTCGTGGGAAGCCGCCACAATGTGAGCTGTTACTGAGGCAGCAATCTGCAGATCAGGAGGATCTTGTGGGCATCAGGATGCCATCCATGAAGTGCTGTCATCTCCACATTGGTGGTGGTGCCTCAGGAGAAGCATTTGCTCTTTGGGAAATAGGACTAAGTTTTCAATTGTTTCACACTTTATTCCTTCTCTGTTTTCCCTCTCTCTTCCCCTCCATGAATCTCTCAGAGAGATTTACAAGAGCTAATGGATATGTAACCTGGTAAATTTATAAGTCAGCATGCTTCTCTGCTGGCTGCTTGAGCACAGTTCTCATCCTCAGTGGATTAAATATTTGTACAGATTTAAATTTTAAATGAAACAACATCTCTTCAAAAGATTCTGGCTTAAAAATACATAAACGGACAAGTTCTTTGCTTCCATAGATTCTAACGTAGTGTATATCCTGTATATATAGGGCCACTCAGTTGCCTAGGGTTCAGGGTGTCTTTCTGACAGAGGGACTGGGACTGTTCAGCCTCAAGAAGAAATGGCTCGGGGAGGATTTTACCAATATTTGATACATGCCTGATAAGCAGGAATAAGGAAAATTGAGCCAGACTATTCTCAGTGCTATCCAGTGACAGGACGAGAGGCGATATCCTGGTTGGCACAATTTTTGCTATGTGATTTTGAAAAGAGGTAAAGTGTAGTGTGAAGTTGCTTGCTTCACTTGCTGCCTGGTTTCTGAATATGCGGAATGGGATTGATCTGTTCCACAGAATATTTAATTCAGAGTAGTACTTAAATGTAAAACCAGAGTTCAACCAGTTGCCTTGAAGTGTTGATTTCATTATTACTAGATATTAGCTAAGAACAAGCATCATCTTTATCTTTTGTAGATTTGTTGGTGATCAATTAAAATAGTTGTTGCGTTCTCCAAGAAGGGAGTGCATATTCCCTCCTGAAGGGTTCCAAAAATATGTTGGGGAATAAGAAGTCAGGGATGTTGTTGAGCATTATCCCGAGATTAGAAAAGGAGGAGTAAAAGAGGCAATAAAAAGTTAAGAATTTCCAATTTGAGCCAAATCAGTAAAATCCTAGTTCGAGTGTCTCATTTTAGGTAAGTAGTTGCAAGTGTTAGGAACTGAGAAATTGAGATTCTGGTGTTGGCTTTTTGGACATCTTGTTCAGATTCTTGAACAAATCCTGCTCAAGCAGACCTCTTCAGGCATTAGGGATTTTAAATATAATTAATGTTTGTATGAACCTTCCAAAAATTCCGCTTTGAAACTTTGTTATGCATCTCTTCATTCAAATCACTTAATGTTTTCAATCTTGTTTACTTCTTTACAGCTGTTAACACAATAGGGGAAAAGCTTCCAAGGAATGACTATTGATGTCGGAGGGAACCTAGATCCTAATTGCAGAACAATTGCCATGATGTCATGTGCAGATTTTATATGGTGTTCACAAGCGGCTGGTTATGAACAACTGCAGATTGCATAAAATGCCTATAAAGGTTTTGTTCTACTCGTAAAGCTGCTGTCTACACTGTTAAAAGCTTATGGATGTAGCTGACTCTGTATACTGTTTTAAGTGAATTCTCTTAACATGAAATCCAACTTTGAGGGGAAAAAAATATGCTTTTGCCAATGTGTTTTTTATCATTCATACACTAAAACCAAGCACAGCTCTAAAAAATGTAGTTGTATGTGATGATAACAAAAGCAACTCTCATCTATGCATTTGCATACCAAGATATGGCATAATTTTCAATGAGTTACACTAACAAAAGTAGTTCTTGCCAGATTATTGATGTGTAACATAGATGTTAGCCCTGTCTAAAACTTCCCTGTAGAAGACGGTCTCATGAATGAACGTGATCATTCAGGTAAAATGGAAATGCAAATTTAATTAAAGATTGTATTTCTTACTGTGAAATGTCAAAGTACCTTGCTGTTTTTCTAATTGTGAAATTGGTAGCCAGGGATGAAAACTGAATGTCAGAAAAACATAAAGATATGGTAATTTTATACTTCTAAGGGTATTTATAGAAATGTTTTCATTATAAAATATGTCTGTGTATTTTTATTGTTCTTGAAGATAATCATCAAAGGCTAGTCAACTAAATGTTCTGCTTTTTGTTTTCCAGAAACCAGCAAACATTCTGGTAATGGGTGAAGGTCCTGAAAGAGGAAGGGTGAAAATAGGTAAACATTTTGAGAAAATTCCATTGCACATCTAAGGAATTAATTAAAAAAATGCATCTTCAGTGTAAGATAGAAAGAAATCTTCATTATTTTTTGAGTCCATGTATGCACAATATCTAGTTCAATTTTAAATGTCATTCACTGAGTTTATAAGCTTAAGCGATTCCAAACATATTATTAGACATTTATAAAGCTTGCCGAGGATATTTGGTGAGATAAATGCATCTGTAAAAAAGAAGAAAGTAATGAGCACGTATAACAATGACCATGGCCAGGGTTCTTTTGACTTCTACTATGACTAGTTAGTATAACATTGTTACTTATAAATTGTGTTAGTTCTTATTAGTTCTGAATTATTTTTATATAAATAACACCAATGCACATGTTTGTAGAAGTCCAAAAGTTTGCTGTGCAAAAGGCTATTCAGCAACAAGGTGGGAAACCTAATTACCTGTGCAGATTGTAAGCCTTAGTCATGTGGATATAAACTTTTTTTTCAATAAAGCATGTGGCAATCATCAAGAAAGAAGTAGTATACAGAAACCTCTTTTTTATTCATCAACTTCTGTTGTATTTGAAAATGTTCAGCTAACCATTTTTGATTCATATGCTTGTATTACTTGAGTTGACTGCAAGAAAATTATACTTGGCATTTCATGAGTTTGGAAGCAGAAAGATTTTGGTGAGGTTGTGTAAAAGATAACTTTCAGACTTGGATTAAAATGTGTGGTTTTGAATATATCCAAACTTTGTACTTTCCCATCTGGCATTTCTTAATTTTACTTACAAGGTGGTTTCTAGAGAGAATTTTTTAGTTATATAAAATGAATGCTTACATGTAAAATACACCTGCATAGGAGTGGACATTCACTGATTTAGGTATTCGCAGTTAAAAACATTTTCCTGATTCAGTTCAGTTGTTTGTTCCTCCTCGTAAGTAGAAGGCATATTTTGAAAAATAGTGCAAAACACTGCAAACGTTTTGGTTTTGTGCTTTGGGTAAATATATAGCAGTCACAAGGGCTCACAGTTTTGTAAACATACATAAAAATAAAAGAGAAAACGTACATTAGAGACCTACTACTATTGACTTCGGTTAACTAGGTTTCTGTTACAGTTCCATTTAAATAAATAGGTATCTGTGTTATGTAAAGTTTTACAGTACCGTGATGAAAAGACTTAAGTCAAACATCATCCTTCATAGTTTTATAAATGAAGTAAATGGAATTTAGCCTTACATAAATTTGGCCCATTATTGTTATGAGTAACTTGTTGCTTTCTCAGAAACTTTGATTTCTAAGTTTTAATGCTTTTGAGCTTTTATTATAATTGGTTTTTGCTGATACTGTTAAATTCTCATTTGTTTTTATTAAAATTCTAAATGTTCTTTTCCTTTTTTTCCTTTTTTTTTTCTTTCTTCCTTCTCCTCCCCCAGCTGATATGGGTTTTGCAAGATTGTTCAACTCTCCTTTGAAGCCATTGGCAGACTTGGATCCAGTTGTGGTAACATTCTGGTACAGAGCTCCAGAGCTGTTACTTGGAGCCAGACATTACACAAAGGCCATTGGTAAGTTCTGTGGAAGAAGGAGGTGTTTACCTCTGAGTTTTGTAAAGGAGGGCAGCGTTATAGTAGATAAGATGATCAACTGACCAGCTAGTTTTTTATCCTGAAGAAGCAGCAGATGGAGCATGATGCAATCTGTAAAAGTTGAATCCAAATTGAAACTTCGAGGAGTTCATTTTTCAATATGAGTTAAGGTTAATGTTAGACACTTTAAATGTGTTGTTTGTTTTGTTTTTAAAATAAAAATATTCTTTGCATTGACTTATATGGCTTTCTGATATGAGCTCAGAAATCTTATAATCTTATAAACCTTCAGAAGGGAAAGAGCTATTGTTGTTAAGGTGGCATTCTCTGAAGATGCTGTATGTCCAGATGCTTGTATGAAGTGTGTGGCTTGCTAAGGAGAAGGGCAGTCTCCTGAGCTGTGTGCCATCTGCAGATCAGTCACTCCTCACGGCTGATAAAGCTCCGTGTTCAGGAAATGCTGGTGGCCAGGCTCTTGTCTTCCTTTCCCCTTAGTAAGTTCCATAAGCAGAGTCAGCCTTGGTGCCTACCTGTTCAGAGACTAAAATCACTGAGGTGCACAGGAGGTATCCCGTCTGCATGATGATATATTGAAGAGAACTGCAAAGGAAATGGTGTTCCTCTGTTTAAGGGGTTAAATTGTTCCTATGGGTACAGGGGGAGCTTTCTTGGCAGTTGCAGGCATTTTCCCGTTTTTGGAGATGCTACGTGGGCCTTTGTTCAGAGAGGTACAAAACACTGTGCTGTATTAGCATCTCAGCTGAATGTTCAGTTGGGTGCACCAACGCTTTTAATTAAGTCTCACAGTCTGGCTTTTTCAAATAACTCCTGTTTATCAAACTATAATATACAGCAAAAGGTTTTAAAAAAATGAATGAACTGTCACTTGACTTCTTTGATATGGACTTGTGCTTCACATTTTTTTATTGCTCTTCTCTTCCATTTGGAATCCTCCAATGCAGGAGGACCTGAGTTGGGCAAAATGCTGCTAGCTTTGTTGGTCTTGCCTTGAATGTGCAGGAACTGTTAAGACTGTTCAGTCTTGCAGGCAAGTAACATGCATTTTTATCCTTGGACAAAATTACCAACAGGATTACCTTAAAGGCCTGTAAATTAGATGCTTAAACTGCCCTGACTATGCTGATTTGTGAAACACGGATGTGAGGGGACCAGATTACTGAGTGACTTGCCTGTGTGGTACTGGGAAGTCACCTTAACTGACAGTTACCTATTATAGGTAGCATATTTTTTGCAGATTTAGGTGGTGACATGTACCATTATCTCAAGATATCTCTTTGAAGAATGAATTAGTATAATGCTGTTGGTTTTTTTGATTATGTCATAAATTACTTGGCTCTTGCCCTGAGGGATCTGTAGTCCATAATAAAACATAGACAAGGAGTCCCTGTGAAAATTTTGAGGATGCTGCTGCTTCAGAGAGATCTGGTTTTGCTCATAGTTGATTATTTCTGAGGCTTTTATTTCTTGTATCAGACCCACACCAGTGAATTCCCAGGAGGGGTGTGAACGGGTGATGTAGTCCCTGGTGTGCAGTGTGGGTGCCGAAAGCACTCAAAACTATTTGAGCAGCAAAGCAAAAAATATGGAAATGAAAACAAGGAAAGTTGCAAGGTGAGATAGGTAGGCTGAGAGAAGGGTTAGAAGACCACATGACTGAAGAGAAGAGAATAAAGGTACCTGGAGGTGATCGATGTGCCGCTTTAAGGCAAAGGAAGAAGTGGTGAAGGGTGACAGTGGTGATGTTCATGCAGTTTATGAGTCCAGACTTGTGTTTGGCTTCTGGCATTATGTGCACTTAAGGCAATCTTAATGAGGTAAGCACACTAGTGAGAGTTTAACTTGAATTCTAATGTTCTTGGCAGAGGACACAACTCTTAAAGCTCTCTCTTAAATCTCTGTGCAAGAAATGTAATTTTCTCGTCTCCTAACATTATATAATTCTCAGGAGTCCAAATGTATCACTTTTAGTAGTAACACATATAAGATTCTTATTTAACTGCTTTTCAGTTGGAAATAATAATTTAAAAGAAAGGTGATTAGATATAGCAATTTATGAAAAAGGAAATGACAGGCTATTTGGTATAGCTGCTTATTTTCTGGAGCTATTTTTTGAGCCTTTTATATAATGTATAATTTTGTATAATTAGTAAATATCGGTAAAGTCAGGCTAAAAGCAATGTCATGCCAGCTTTAGTCTATTCTCTTCCAATTTTGTCATTGTGAGAAATATTTGTGTTTGAATGTACTAGGAATGCATTGTCATCAGTTCTCTACTGCAACACACAACATTGTCCAACAGTTGCTACATAATTCAGATGTTTGCTTACATTTTTACTGGCTTAGTTTTCTGTATTCTGTATCTAATACTTTCGTCCTTATCTTAGCTTCATATATAATGTTAATTATTTGCAGTGTATTCATAATATCCTGGACACTGTCAACTAGTGTCCAATTTTTTTTTTTCTTGTAGTAAAGCAAGGTATCCCTGCTTGCATGTAAATAATTCTCATACATGACCAAAGAATGCAGTTGGAATTTGTCTTTTTTCTCACTTAGGACTTTTGTCTGTCTTCTGGATCTGGTCTTAGTTACATTTTGTGGGTTCAACTTCGGGGAAAAATTGGACTAAATACAGTCGGCTTAGAATTATACAAAACAATGTATAAGCCTGTTTCATTATTTCAGAGGTAGTTTTTTCCCCTTTATTTGATTTGTTCCTTTATCATAATGAATTAGTTTACTTTTCATTTACTTGCCTGCAGAACAAATAGTTGTTCATCACGTATATAACATCGTGTTTTAAAGAGATAGAGGAGTCAGGAAAATATGTTGCTGAAAAGCAGAAATAGCTTTTACTTTCTGTGTGTTAAAAGGATAGTAAAAAGTCCATGTTAGGGTTCCATGGGGAATAATATTTAGTTTATAATCTAAGCCCTACTTGTTAATAAAGTTTCTTATATGATCTGCTTACCAGAGTTACAAGCAATTAATTTACCAGATGAATACAAATTGGGAAAATGGTGGTATAGAAGCCAAAGGTCACTTTCTTTTCTGTTACTCCAATACAAATCTGTATTAAATTTATTGTAGCCTGTGGAAGTTGGTCTACATTTCCAGCACCATAACTTAAAAGCAGAATCTGTTCCCATGTGTTCATTATTCTATTATTCTAGGAAAGAAGTAAAATATGCAAATAGAAGTGACTTGAACAAGCTTCAGGTGAAGTTAACTGCAAAAATGTAAAATGCTTGTGATGGTGGAAATGTTAATAAAATTAGTGAACTTATAGAAAGTCTCCAGCACAACAGAAAATACCTTTATACTCAAAATACTAAAGAAACAAGGTTGAAGTAAGTGGCAAGATACAGTGCTCCTTTCATTGACGGGTAAAGACTTCTGCACTATAATTTTAAGGAAAGTAAAGGAAATGACTGTGGCAAAATGCAAGAAAATGTAAGCTGACTTTCAGCTTGAAAGGAGACTTTAATCAGACCTTTTTTTTTCACTCTGGGAACATCAAAATAGAATGTTTTAGTCAGTAAAGTAAGTAGTAAGAACTATTTTTCATGACAGGCTTTTAAGAAAGCACGTGACAGTCTCTACTATGATTCATTCTGGGGCATCTTGTAGCGTAATATCAAGGAAGTGGCATAATTTGGACTTGGTTTTTATCAAGTTGCAGCTTGTATAGTTAGCAGTGCTATCAAATAAGAACATGTTATCTTACCTCTATTTACCATTTGCATTAATTAAAGAAATAACATATTTGATAAATGGCATCAGATAGTTTGGATTTTGTTGGCAAAAGAGTTCTTTAGATTGATCATTCAACCACCCCATAAGCAAGGCTTAATGAAAAAAAGATGAGATTATCTATTGTGAAAAAATAAATCTGAGAACCTGAGAAATCTCTATTGCTTAGTTACCTTTCCTCACTTGTCTAGATGATAAGCCAGCAGGAATGTCAGAAATGGCCATGTGGCAACCGCATTTACCAACCTGAACAAGATTTAGGTATAAAGAAACTGTAATTTAAAGCATGGGCAGTGCACTGTCACCTCATTCGATTTCCAGACTAGCATATGGTTATGGAAGCTGGAAATGTGTGAAAGGTATAAGCAGATACCAAAATGCCTTTGAAAGCGAATGTCACAGGAAAATATTAGGTGTATCAAAGGGAATGGATTTATAACGAATGCTGGGATCCATCAGAGTTTCAACAACTCCATTTGACTTTATGCAGGAAAAAAAGAGGGGGAAGTGTCTGGGGTGTATTATGGAGGATTTAGGATGGAAATACGTGCATATGTGTTCCATATTGCCTATGCAGCGAGTCCCACACGTTCCGAGAGCATCAGATGTCCTTACTGTGCGCGCACAGATTGTTGGCACGCTGGCCGGGCTGTGGGGCCTCTGGAAATTTTGGCCTGATGCCTAAAGCTCTTCTGGTCTCTTGTTCTGGGAGGGTTGGGGGGAAGGAGAAAAAATGAGACTGATCTGGAAAATCTGGTAAACCAGACGTTACAAATGGGGCCAACCAAAAGATGGAAAAGTCCTTAGGAAAGATGCACAGGGAAGGTTCCCCACCTGTGGTCTGTGGAGCCATAGGAGTATGGAGACTGCTTTTAAATATCCATGAGAGAGAGTTAAGAAAAGCAAATTGGTAGTCAGTCAGCTCTTATTTGCTGCATAGGGATCCACATTTGTGTGTGTTAGAGATTTTGATTTGAGGGGAAGGGGTTGTGGAAAAACTAGAGAAGTAGAGAAGTTTGGAAAAATATTCATTTATGCACTCTGAAAAGAAAAACTCAGGCTGCACCAGGAAGGGAGCCTTGTTCATGCCCTGGGCAATGTTATACGACATGGCAAGTAATTGGATTCAGATGATATTTTGTGGTAAACTTATTTTGGCATGTGGTAAACTTTCTTCATGTTGATTATCACAATTGTTCTCATGC